TATATTCTAGAAGAGGAAAAAACTGCCTGTGTTCTCTGGATGCCCCCAATACACCTGGAGCCTTACTTCAAATACAAGAAACAGCTGGTGTTCATGATTTAAGGCTTAATACAAATAGAGAGAATTTCTTTTACAAGCTGTCTGGTTTGGCAAAATTCCAGAATTCATCAAACAGAAAGATAAGGAGGATGATGATAAAAAAGATTCTTCATAGTTGGCCTTCATATAGTGACATAAAAGAAGTGTGATCTACATAGGACATTCCAGAGCCGGAACATACCCTCGACTTCACACAAAAATAGAGCAGGGCCTTCCCAGCACCTGTAAATATCAAAGGCGACCCCACATACCTGACTCGGCTGTGCTTGGAAGCCGAACCTGTGAAGGTTTCAGGCAGGCAATGATTCTTTGTGTTACCAAAAAATCATTGGATGATTCTTTGATTCATTGGATGATAAGGCATGGTCTTTAGAAGATAACGTGGGAGGGCTCCCAGAGAAAGAACCTCAATATTCCCAAACCCAAATACTAAAAACGACTTAACATCCAACTAGTGATTTTCTGTGAACTATTAAGATCTTTGTCATTAAGTCTCATGAAAAGTCTAAAGAAGCCTTCCAGTTAGGGAAAATGCCACAGATCTGCTCCGTAAATGTCTTTTCCCCACTTGGTGAGAATAATAATTCCAGCTAACACATACTGAGTGTTTTTACTGCCAGGTATGGAGCTGAGCACAATAGCTTGTTGAATTCTCTTGAGAAGCCACTGTAAATAATATCATTATTCTCATCTTAAAGATGAGGAAACCAGGGCTCCCAGAGGTTCCATCACGGCCCAAGGTCATATGGATAAGTGAAGGAGTTGGGTTATTCCACTTCTCTCCATCTGTAACCCAGGAGACAGAAGTGGATGGGGTCTGCCTTTCAGTAGGCTAGCAGTTCAATGAATGGTTTCAGTTTTAAGTAGGCAGCACTCTCATCCATAGCCATGGACTGTATCCTTCACTCTGTGAGCTACTTCACAAAGATCTTTTGGTCCCCAACAGGACTGGGTGTAAGGCCTGGAGATGGCTCAGAAACGCCCTCTTCAATACTGAAAAAAAAAAAAAAAAAAGAACTCAAATACTTTTTTCCATTAACAGCGCTCACTGGTGTCTTTAATAGTGGAAAATTCCGTGGAGACCGATTTCGTACAAAAGGCTTTTGAACTTTAATGTGTTTCAGAAATTTAAGTCATGTCCATGAATGTTTATGGCTCAGGTTTTCTCTTTTTCGGTGGGGTCTTCACTTAGAAAACAGAACATATTAATTATTTGTCTTGGGCAAGAAACAAACATATTGCTCTTGAAATTTTCCACCCGTAAAATGTGGATAACATCTAGCCTACCTTTTTCACGTGGTTTTGGGGAATATAAAAAGAATATAAAGAAGAAAGTTATAAACAACTGTATAATGCAAACCCAAATGCCATCTTTTCTAACTTTCCCAATCTAGAGGTCCCCATTCTCCCTACAGCTGCCAGTGTGTCTTTTATTTAAAGCGGTTCTCATTACCTAAATTAAATTTTTAAATTTAATTATTTACTTGAGAATTTCCTGTATCTCCAACTACAATGAAATTCCATGCAAGAATGGATTCTCTCTCTCCTTTTTTTTTTTTTTGGCCACTGCATTGCCAAGCATCTAAAACTATCCCTGGCAGAAGAGACAATTAATGCAGGTTGAATAGTAACACCTTTTTGTGTTAAAATCTGTATCTTTATACACATTTTTAAAATTGGAATTCAAGTCCATAGAAACAGATTAATCATAATCCTTGATTAATGGCACGCTCATCCAACGCCATCCATGCATGGCCCTCTTCTATTATTTATTTAGCTATTTAATTAGTTTTTTTTTTTTATCATGTAATAAATACCTGAGAAAACAGAACCTGAAACAAAATCTAGGGTCCTTCATCTAACCATAGGGCCGACCCCTTCTAGTCCTTATTTGAGATCACCGTCGTTCCGAATCCCAGGTTCTTCGTTTCTTGTTGTCCCAAATCCATTTCCCTAGAAGCAGAGCCTGAGATGATGGGAGTCTTGTGTAGGTCATTTATTAAAGAAAGGGAGTTCAGAAGAAGGGAAGCAAGGCGGGGCAGGGGAAAAGTGAGGCAAAGGTATAGAATCAGTTGGAGGCTAGATTCAGAGCTCTGGAGAACGCACTGCACTACAGCGTTGCCTTGTCTTGAGGCAACAGACTAACTCCTTGTACCCCCGAGTCAGTCAGTCATTGGCTGACATTGGGGAGGTGATATAGGGAAAGCAGGTGCCCGGCCTCCTGGGCGAGGCACCCCCATTTAGCTAAGGGCAATTTTCTGGAGAAAAAGGAGCCTTGAGCTGTTAGCAGCCGATACCCATAGCAGCGTGGGATCAGAGCCCTGGACCAGGAAAAGGGAGGTCTGGCATTTCTTCTACGTCTTGCTTCCTTTTTCGTACAGTTTGATCAAAATTTGTATGTATTCCTTGAAAGTATGTATATATTTTTTTCGGTTATTTGGAACTTTCTAGAAAAGAAGTCATACAAATATTGTTTTGACTGTTGTATAATATTTCAGTATATGAAAATACCATAGTTTATTGACCCATTCTCTCACTGGTGGACTTTTGAGTCATTTTCAGGTTTTTGCTACTATGAACAGTGTTGCTATGAACATTCTCATGTATCTTGTTGTATATGTGCAAGAATTTGGGAGATTTATGCCTGGGGTGGAGTAGCTGGATAATAAGGTAAGGACTTTAAAAGATAATGACGAACCTTTTTCCAAAGTGGTTTTACTAAGTCACATGCTCACCAGTAATATATGTGAGAGCTCTATCATCCTCATCCTCTCCAACGTTTTTGATTTTTGTAAATCGAAGGGATATAAAATGGCATCTCATTGCAGTCTTGATTCGTATGTCCTTCATCACTAATCATCTCTTCATATGTTTATCAGACATACCTGTTTCTTCTTATGTGACATGCTTGCTCTTATCTTTTGTCCATTTTTCTACTGGGTTATTTTTTTCTTATTGATCTGTAGGATTTCTTTATACGTGCTTTGTCTGTTGTGTATATTTTGAATATTGTGACTATCTTCTCCTAATTTGTAACTTTTCTTTATGGTGTCTTTTAATGAACAGAGGTTCTTAATTTTATTATAGTCACAGGTATTCTTTTTGTGTCTTTTTATATCTTAAGAAATTTTTCCCTTAGAGAATTTAAAGGACAATCTCAGTCTTGAGGAGGAGAGTGAGGCACAAATGAAGCCAGGTTACAGGTGTCACAGGGCAAACATTGTCGTGCCTACTGAGGGACTGTCTGGTCCCAGGCAGGCCTGACCAAGCAGCACGCACACCCAGCTGCCCTGCTGGCAGGTGTGTTTGGGTTATGGAATTGGATATGTCGTGCTATTAGAGCTGGATACCATTAAAAATTCTAATCATAGACTGTAATTAACTTTTCTTGCTCTGATGCCCCGCTCACTAAACAACCTTCTGATTATAATTTGGCTTCCCATGTATCTTGCCTACAGGGAGAGAATGTACTGTTCAGGCTGACGTGAGGATCCAATCCACTAAACAGTTACATGCCATGATGTAAATTAATAAATTCATATTCTAGTTTTATCATCTGCCTCATCTGAGCTCTGTAAGCGTGAGTCAGCATCCCCGAGTCTAATCAACATGGACACTGAGAACATCAGGCTTCTGAGCTGAAAAACGAAGAACTAGACCCAGGACCAGAGCAAAATCACCAAGGTAGCACTGCCCTGGAGGCCCCTTGGCCTCGTGGAGAAGGTCTTCTTACATGTCATGCGATACGAACAGAAATTAAAATTAACTTTTAATGTTATAAAGCGCTGCATATTCAAAACCATGGCTTGGTTCTATTCAGGTGAAGGCAAAGAACAGGAGACAATCATAAGACTTGTATTGAATATTTATTGGCTTATGAGCACACACCAGATGCTGCACAAATCCTAGGCAGAAGGATAAGATTTACAGACATGTTTGAAAAAAGAAAAAAAAAGGGGAGTGCAGATGGTACGTGCTAAGGAAGGATGGAACAAGGGGAGTCTGACCGATAAATCCTTGTTCCACCTAAGTACTCACTGTCCAGGGTACAAAATGGAAGATGACAACTTAAATCTGCCCCCCAACAAAACCACAAACAAATAAATAAAAAAACGAAAAGCAAAAAAACAGGGGAGGGAAGCACAAAGTACACCAGAACACAAATGGGGATGTGCCCGGGCAGTGAGATGACCCAGGCCAGAGGAGTGATTTAGGACCGTTAGGGCGAGGGCAAGATCTTTGAAGTAAGTTCAAAAGGCAAAATGGAGGTGAGTCCGTTAGGACAGATGGGGATAATTTAGCAATCCTACTATTAGATCATCATTTCATCCAGGGTGAGCAGTACGAATAGTGACACAGATGCCCTTCTGAGATCCCAGTTACACTGAATAATAAAGGGAAGAACATGATCGGAACTGTAGTATCTGGGATTTTTTGGCGCAGTGATGACAAGTGATCCTCTACTTTGTATTCAGGCCAAAACCAAACAAAAACAAAAAGGGAGGGGGGGCGAGCTATTCTGATAACCCTGCAGAATTTGTTTTTCAAAGAAAAATACGTTCCAAAAGGAATGAGATAAGTTAAAGGAAGTTCTGCATCATCTTTGAGACCTATTGCATTATTTCCCACAATGCCTTCTTTAGGGTCCCCACCAGAGCAAGGGCACTAGCCTGGCTAGACTGGACGAGGCTAGAGAACCATCTCCGATATCGTTCTGTTCTAAAAACGAGGTACAGACGTACCGCCCAGTAAGAGGTGATCCTAAATTTGGCCTGCCCAACCAGCCACGTGGCAGGAAAGGCATACAAGGGGCTTGGCGAAACAGCAGGACCAAAATATGGCAGGTGATAGAAGCGCCTCTCTCAGGAGCATCACCGGAATGCCCGAACTTCAAGAAGCGGGGCTGGAGAGGGCCTGACCTGTGTTCTCCACGAAGCCAGAGGGATATGACTCAAACCTGAAGGAACAAGAGCTCCCTTTAAGAGTGGCTTCAGTGTGTCTACATACATGAGGATAGTGTAGACAGAACGGGGCTCCTCATCTAGTAAAGGTGGTCCTGCACGTGCTCCATGATAGTCTTCAGCCCCAGCCAGGTCTCCTCCGCAGTGGGGATGATCTGGTTGGATGGCAGGAGGAAGCCATAGTGCCCAGTATCTCTCAACTCAAAAGTGAACGCATACTTGATGCCATTATCATATGCCCAGTCGATGCTGCTCCCGCTAGCTTGATCTGCAAGTCAGAAGAGAAAACATCTTTGAAGCCTAGTTCCTTTCAGCATTAGCTGGGAAGGGGCCAGGGGTTCTGCCTGCCTGTGGTTCCTTAGGGATCCTGAGTTCTTTATGCAAGTCATCAGGCCTATGACACATAAACGCTGGCCTGCTCCGTACATCTCAGGCTGTCCTACACCATGAGGGTCTTCACTAGTCTCAATGAAGAGATTTTAAATCCTCATTCCCACCTTGTGACTAACTCTCTGTAGTCCTCTGCAACCTACTTGAAACCAATCTCTGCAGAAACACAATATGGTAGACAGACTCCAAGATAACCCCAATAATCCTTGTCTCCTAGTATTCATGTCCTTGCAGAGTGCCCCCCTACATTGAATAAGGCCTACTTGACATGTGTAATTAACAAGAGACTACAGAAATGAAGGCGTGTGACTTCTAGGGCTAGGTCACAAATGATACTGTGGCTTCCACCTTGCTCTCTCTCGCATCACTCACTCTGGGCAAAGCCAGCTGTCACATTATAAGGACAATCAAGCAGCCCTATAAAGACGTCCACATGGTGAAGAGCTGAGGCCTCCTACCAACAGCCAGTACTCCCTCGCCAGGCATCCGAGGGAGCCACTGGGGACACAGACCCTCCAACCCAGTCAAGCAGTTAGGTGACTGCAATCTGGGAAGATACCTTGACTACAGCCTCCTGAGAGCTCCTGAGCCAGGGCCACCACTTAGTGACCCAGCTAAGCCACTCTTGAATTCCGGACCCACAGAAACCATTTAAGAAAATAAATGTTTATTGTTTTAAGCTGCTAAGTTTTAGGATAACTTGCTTTTTACATAGCAAGAGGTAATTGATACACAGAGAGAAAGCAGCATGGCCCTTGGGGTTTCCCTTTGCCAAAAGGCTGGCGAAAGGCAAGGGTCCTGTTTTTCTGCTTCTTCCCAAACTCTGCTAGAGTAGAGACTGGGTAAGAGTGCAAAGCGTAGATGATCCTGAATAATGCAATAATGATGTCAGTAGGAGCTATCATTATTGCTACCATGAGCCAGACATTATACTGGAAATTTTACATTTATGATTTCATTTACTCTTTCAAAACTCAATGAGGGTAGGTATTGTTGTCCTGCCATCTATATTTCCTTAGATAAACTGCACATCCGGGCTCAGAATGTGGAATTTATCAAAGGAAATATAGATGGAAAATGGCAAAGGTGGAATTTAAACCTAGGTGACAAAATCCATGTATTCTTCAACCGATTTCCAGTCCATTTGGTATATTACATGCCAGCTCAATGAAAATATGGGTCTTTCTGTTTTTTTCATTGTTCCTGAAGGTTATTTCTTATAATACTATTTGTGATTTTTTTCTAGAGATGCTGGTTCCAGTGAGATTACCTGCTTCTCAACTCCCTTACACTCTGAACTTTTCGTGTGGTTCTCATAGCCTTTCTCTACCTTGAGAAAATGTTAAATAAAAAACAGACAGTGGCACCATAGGTTTCCAGAGGTTATATATACAGCAAGCTCAAGAAATTCAGAACACATTTAAAATTCCGAAAGGAGGCAAGAAGGCTTCTGCTGAACAAAATGTTCAAGTTCATGAACTTCACTTTATTGGGTCCCTGCTCAAAGTCTATCTATTCTTTTTTTTTTTTTAACACAAATAGGAACATATCATTTACACTATTCTGCACACTGTGTTTTTAAATTAACATTTGAAGGTTATTGCCTTCACATATAGATCCACCTCATTGACTGAGGGCTGCATAGTGTCTCACTGACGAATGAACCAAATGTGTTTTTATCCAGCACTCTACTGATGGACATTTAGATGTTTACCAGTCTTTCGTGACTATAAAAAATGCTGTTGCAAACATCCGAATACTCACAATCTGATGAGCCAACCCAGCTCAAAGAACTTGTTCCCAAGCCCCCAGCAGCTCAAAATCAGTAAGAGGAAGGGGAAGGGTTGCTCACTACAGTCAGTTAGCCCGAAAGCAGTACAGTCTGACCAGAGGAAGGAGACATAAAACTCTAAAAAGCAGACATGAGAATTAAAGAAGCAAAAAAGGCCAGTGCTGTTTAGCACAGAGATTAAATAGTTTAATATGGCACAGTGGGCCTTCAGGATGTAACAACTGACGTACAACAGGCCACACAGTCATAAAGACAGGAGCTTAAATCTCTTCTACGCACTCTGCTTTAAAAGACAGGAATGTGCGGAATCCATTTTAGAATGATTTTCATCTAAAATGGTCAACCTACAAAAAGGTCTAGCCCTTGAAGGGACAAGCATCAACTATTTATTCTAGATTCCATAACCCATGGAGCTGGAGTGTTATCATACAACAAATAATTACATTTTTGGAAAGCAAGGGAGGGTTGACAAAGCCTATAAAGAAAATTGAAGATGGGCTCTTGAAAGAGGTAGGAAAATATTATGTCTCCTGGACAACACTCAAAAGAGCCTTCCTCCTCTTCTGTTGGAGGAATCTGATAAGTTTGTCTTGATTTTGGCACAGCTTATGTTGAGGAGAAGAACATGTTTGATGTGGGAGGAGAAGGACGTTCTTTAAACTGGTGTTTGACAGCCAACAGATATGTGAAAAGATGCTCAACTTCACTAGCTATTAGGGAAACGCACATCAAAACTACAATGAGATACCACCTCACACCTGTTAGAATGGCAATTGTCAACAAGACAAGTAATAACCAGTGTTGGAGAGGTTGTGGGTAAAAAGGAATCCTCATACTCTGCTGGTGGGAATGTAAATTGGTACAGAACCTATGGAAAATAGTATGGAGATTCCTCAAAAAATTAAGACTAGAATAGCATAATCCCTCTTCTGGCTATCTATGCAAAAAAACCTAAAAACATTTATTTGTAAAGATGTATGCACCCCTATGTTCTTTGCAGCATTAGTCATGGTGGCCAAGACGTGGAAACAACTGAATTTCCTTTGATAGATGATTGGATACAGATGTGGTATATATATACAGCGGAATATTACTCAGCCATAGAAAAGATGAAATACTGCCTTTTGCAACAACATGGATAGATCTTGAGATGACTGTGCTAAGCAAAATAAGTGAGACAGAAAAAGTTGAGAGCCATACGATTTCCCTCAAATGTGGAATATAAAACTGAAAGCAACAAACGAAACAAACAAAAAAACTTATAGACACAGACAACAGCTTAGTGGTTACTGGAGGGAGGAGGAGGGGAGGGGTGGAAAAGGGTAAAGGGGGTCAAATATATGGTGACTTAAGGAGATTTGACTTTGGTGGTAAACACACAATGCAGTATACAGATAATGTATTATAGAATTGTATGCCGGAAACCTATACAATTTTATTAACCAATATCACCCCAATAAAATAGAAAAAAATTAAACTGGTGTTTGACCTAAAAGCCAGGATCCTGGTGACCCACAGAGCTTTTGAGAGGACCTTCCCAGAGGACTTCTGCCAAGTCTCTTTAGCTCTTTTTGGTCGGGGACTCAGTTATGACTAATTAAGCAGAGGGTGAAGAAACTCTCCTGATGTGTTTGTTCTCTGAGGAATTCCCATTTAACAACACTAATAATAATAAACCATGAATAACTAATAGATTGTTGTTGCAATTAGTAACACAAACACCAACATCACGCTAACTGCTTCAGCATGGTGGCTGAATCAGAGCACGGAGGAGGACCCAGGAGGTGGGGAGGAGCATCTTCCCAGAAGAGGACGACTGAAGGGAGCAGCTAAATGAGACAGGCAGGATGGGAGTGTGAGTTGCAGTATAGTAGAGGGGAAAAATACAGTATCAGTAAGTCTGCAGGACCTCTGAGGGTAGATCAACTGTTGGAAATTTTTTTACAGAAGAGGCACTAGCTTAAAAGGCAGCAGAGCTGTGTGCCCCACGTTTGTATTTACATTTCCCATTTAGAGCTGAGGTCCTGGGGAATGATTATGTTCTTCAATTTTTAAATTTAAAGATCAGACTCACAGAATACAGGAACTGGAAAGGTCT